TTACTGATCCCTTAATTGCTTGCAGATAGATAATGTGTCAGGTCCTAGCACATCATGACATGGGAGGCACAATCTCTGTTAAAGGAAGAATAATATACTGAAGAGTTGCAGAAAAATTCTGACAGAAAAGAGGAAAAGCTATAGCAACAGATTTTTAAAGTGTTAAATAGGGTGAGTGGGGATATAAGGCTGAATAGGTGAGAGTTTATTGGCTTGGGAATATTCTCCTGTGACTCAGGTTTTAATATCCTGTCAAGGACACTTGGAATTTGTCCCAAAATTTTGCTAAGAAGGTGCTTTGAAACTCGGACTTAACAATGATGTAGAAATGCCAGAACTGCCTTCAGGTTTTAAGGAACAGGTCAAAAGGTTTAAGGAGGTGGGAATATAAGAATAAAGTTTTTCATACTCGAGATACAAAAAAAAAAAAGGAATTTTTATGTAATACCTATTGCCTATGTTTCCTAGGATACTACCTTAACTGGGACAACATGTAATACACTAGTATGTGTTAAAAGCTCAGTGGAAGTTGCTTATTTGAATCATGGTTCACTGAATAACTTACTATCATTGAATGTAGCTCCCTAGAGTCCATGGGAATGGAAAAGTTCCATAATTTAAGAATCCAGGTAGCTGCACTTAAATACCCAAGGTCATTTAGGTATAATTAGTTTAACAGGGAATAGGATTAAAGGGATAACCAGAGAGTTGGGATCCTACAAACTTGGAGTAATGGCTTAGAGGCTTTTGTGTTCCTAGAGATGAGAAAGACCGACAGCCTACAAAATTATTCCTTAACTTTAATTACTAGAAAAAAATCAAAAGCAGATGAGCATCAGCTGGCCAGGATTAGCAATCACAATAGAAAAGCATAATGTTTTATTAAGTTTCCATAGCTGATCCCATTACCAGACCCAGAGCCCAATGACTAAAGGGGAAGCCTGAGGCCTTCAGAAAAAGATTCTGAAATCCTATCATAAATGCATACATTAACTTTTGCTCCTACCAAAGAGATCTATTTACCCAGGGCTTGCAAGGGGTGTTAGATATAGATATTGTTAACAGGGGACCTAAATAGTATTATGACTCCCATCAATAAGCTAGGGGCTTAAAGAGGCCAGAGGAAAAATGCAGGCTATCTGTGCTCATCCTCCCAAGTCTGAGTGCATATAGGTGATAGGTGTACTTAATTATTGAACTTTGCATTCCTAACACTTAGAAAGAGGTGCTGCAAAAATTTGGTTTCTATATTGTAGAGGCAGGTAGCTCCTCTACAGGGTACTGCTTCTGTAGTAGTCATATCTGTTAAATAACTCAGAAGCTTGCTAAGTTTCAAGTGGGGCTCAAAGTAAGAGAAAACTGCAGCAGGATCAAAAAATGAAGCAGGCTTTCCTGAGCCAACAGATTGAGGGATACTAGGGGTATCCAGTAGAAGAGTGGCAACTCAGAATTCCATGATTCAGAATCAAGTGATGGCTTCTGCTTCAGAGAGCCACTCACTGTTTGAAAAGCAGCTTCTGGTACGCCACAGGGTCCTTCTAGACACTGCGCAGCTGACCAGGGGATATTAAGAAACTGTAACTGAAGATACCTATTCTGAGCTACACATTGTCAAGTCATCTAAGTTATGAGGTGAGTTTGCACAGCCACAATCTATCACATGATGGAAACAACACATGTAGAATCATGCCTGAGCAAGTCCACAGGGCACAAGTGAGTTTCATAAACAGGTGGCCAGGCTCCCGTCTCTGTTGCATCTGTCATTCTCCACCATTGCACACCTATGGCCTTGTAAGATGTTTCCTGTGACTATCTAAAAGAAAAAAATACAGGCATGTTTTTAAAATGAAAGGCCAAATATGCTATTTAAGTAAAGTGGTTTGCTGTTACCCACTCTCAAGTAGCCCTAAAAGATAAGTAAGTAAGGAGATACCTTCATACTTCATATGAAGAGGAAGAACTAGCCTGATATAGTATATATATATGCTCTTTTGTGCAGTATTGAACTACTTGGCTTATTGGTTAGGGGACTAGAATGGCAAAAGTATAATATTGAGTATAGTCATGGTGGATATACCTGTGTGGGAAACAATATGCACATCTTCATGTCTCATACTATTGTCCACTAGAAAGCATCTGTGCTAGTCAGTGTTCATCACTGTGACCAATATACTTGATAAGAACAACTTGGAGGAGGCAAAGTTTATTTGGACATATGGTTTTAGAAGTTCAACCTATGATTGGTCAATCCATTCCTCCGGACCTGAAATGAGGCAGAACATCATGGTGGAAAGGCATGGTGGAGCACAGCTGCTCAACTCATGGCAGCCAGGAAGCAGAGAGAGTGAGAAAAGGATCCACGGACAGATATTTCAGGACATGTCCCTAGTGACCTTCTTCCTCCAGCCATGCCCTACCTTGCCCAGAGCATTCAAATTATTAATCAATCAAATGGATTAATCCATTGATGAGATTATAACTCTCATAATCTAATAATTTTACCTCTGAACATTCTTTCATTGTCTAACCCATGAGTTTTTCAGGGGACATTAAGAATCCAATCCATAATAGCATCCATCAACAAAGAGACTCTTAACAACATATGGAGAATTGTATGCTCTCTCTGTTGATATAAGCCAGCCTTTATTCTTCACATGCCAATGACAGTGTAATGGATCCATGATCAGAGCAGCATTTTGGCAGATATGGAGGCCATGCACGGCCTCAGTAATATTGGATCTTTTCACCAAGCTACTGCATAGCTATACCGTTTCTATAGTTCTAACTTGTCAGTAGCCAAGACCAACACCAAACATTTAATAGAATACCAATCTTTAGGGATACCATCAAGACTCTTAGAGATAAATTGATTATATTGGATCCCTCCTTTCAAGGGACAGATGAGTCATCCTTAATGGAATTCTCTCTATTCTGAATACATCTTCAGCCTCCTTACCTGTGAGTGTCACTTCTGAGATTATTTGATGGGTTACAGAATGCTTTATTTACAGACATGATATCCTTCATTTCATCACTTTGTACCATGGTGAAGGAGGTACAACAAGACAACAAGCACAAGATTATTGGATTCCATGTTACTACACATAGCACGTTATCCAAAAGCAGTTGTTCTGATATAGTGCTGGAATGGAATATTAAGGCCTTGGTTCACATGGAGACGACACTCTGCATGGTCTAGAGTTGTCCTACATGATGGGGTATGTGACTTGAGCCAATGACTGATATATGGTGCTGTGTACATAATAACTGGAATACATAGCCTAGAAACCAAGACGGAAAAATAGGAATGATTCCTCTCACCATCATACTCAATGATCCACTTACAGAATTTGTGCATCCTATTCCTACAGTCTTAGGCTCTGCTAGAGTATAGGTCTTTCTTACTATTGGAAGTAAGGAGAAACTCTTCCAAAAGGGGACACAGTAAGGATCTCATAGAACTATAACTATGATTACCACCTATCTACTTTGGCTCTTCATGCCACAGGGCTAGAAGACAAAGAAAGGCATTTTTCATTTGGGCAGGATAATTGATTCTGATTATCATGAGCACCTAAGATTGTTGTTAAATAATGGAAGCAGGAAGGAGTTTCTAGATCTTAAAAGATTCACTGGGACTCCTCTGTTCTTCCACGCCTCATAAAGACATTGAATAAAAAATCTCAATAATGACCTCAGTCTGACACAGGCAAGCTCACCAAGAGCTTGAATTCCTCAGGAAATCACTTACATCAGTTGAAATGTTCACCAAGAGTAAGAAAAATCTTAAATGAGTGGTGAAAATCTAGAAGGCTCCTTATGGTCTTTGGGGCATTTGCAGCAAGGGGCATCTGCTTGCTATACTAACTCTCTCTTCTTGAGTATTTTTGAGAAATAGTGTCAGTCTTTGACACTAAGACATTGGTGACAGAAAATATTTAATATAGGGTAAAATGCTTCTGAAAAGTTCAAGGGATAGAAAACTTAATGCCCTCTGCCACTTTTAATTTCAGCTGCAAAGGTGTTGGACAGTTCCAGAGCATGTCACAGCATCTCCCCCCATCCCAAGTGCCTGCTGTATCTTTCTGCTGTCCCAACTCACCACTATCTTCAAAGTCACAGATGTTCACTAAGCCTGCCCTGAATGACATTCGGGTGAGTTAATTCTCCTGGGAGCCATCCTCAATCAATGAGTGAAGGGAATCAGTGGATGAATGTGTCAGCCTTTCGTCCCAGGGAGGGAAACTTCTTAGATGCATCCTACAGGGTTTCTTGAAGAGTCCCTAATGGAACTGAGTTCTAAGTGATCAAAGTGGTAGCCAACTCAGTTATGTATCCTTCAATGGCTTTTTCTTTGCATATATCTCAACCTTCATGCTTCCAAAGATTACCTACCAAGCTAACTACCTGTTTAAGTCCCTGCTTTTAGAGAAACTTAAAGTAGATGAATAAACCAGTGGCTACGAGTTAGTTGTGGTGTTTATAGAATAGGTTTGCTTTGTTAATAAAGGAACAGTTAAGAATGGTGAAGATAGTGAAGTTAACTAAATACTGGAAATAAACATTTATTGAGTCTTTATTATTTATCAGCCATTTTAGAAGGTATCCAACACAATCATCTGAATTATATCATTTTTCTAAAGAAATCAATAACCTCATTTTGTTTATCACAGTTTAAGTATGTTAAGATGTGGAAGTGAGGGTTGGAGAATAACTGATGTGTGGTATATCCAAGTAAATGTAACAAAATTCTTCCCTAAAATATGAAATTATTCAATGTGTATTACATGGGAAATATAAGAAACACTCACGATCCAATGTCCAATGTCTTTGTCTTATAGATGAAGAAAAAGAGGTGGCTGAGTGATACAATCAGGTCTAGAACATCAAGATTTTGGTACTCTTTCCGTTATAATATTTAGAGACTTACACAAAGAGAAAGATTGCCATTTGGAAAATTTCTAATTTAAAATATTTTCTGTATTTGCATAAAGTCTTACAAAAGTCTGTGTGTTTCTTGATTTCCACTGAAGTTAAGTTGCTTGTAGAGTTTATATTGATTCTGAGTGACTCATGCTGTTAAGCTTGCTTCATGGTTTTAGGTTAACTCCCATTCAAGTACTGGATGTTCCTAAGAAAATAACATTGTGATATAAAAGAGAAAAGGGCTGGAAAGTTCCTTAGAGATCACCTCATCAACTCCATGGGCTTTTGTAGATATTTAGTACAGGCATTTTTGCAGATATTTATTTTTGGTACCATTCTCCAATTGACTACTTTGGTCTCTATGATTCTATTGGTCCAAATGGGGAGGAGAATAGAAAAAAGGGGTGAGAAGAACATTTCCCCCATCCTCTCTTCTTTGAAACCTTATATCTGGATGTCCTGTTTGTAAACCCCAACCTCAGGTTGGAAATGACTGTTTCACCATCACTATGGAAGCAGTCAATAAATGCTTGTTGGTTGACAGAACAGCATTCCTCTCTCTAGACTCTGGAACACATTTCTCATAAGTAGAAAGAACACCTTCTATTGAATAAAGTTGTGTCCATTTTTTTATTGTGGTAAAATATATCAAATATGTAATTTACCATTTTAAGGGTGTAATTCAATACATTGAAGACATTCACCTTGTCATACAATCATCACTTCTATCCATCTCCAAAACATTTTCATCTGCCCAAACTAAAACTCTATAGTCATTAAAGAGTAACTCCTCATATCCCCTCTATAGCCCCTGGAAACCACCATTCTACTTTTTGTCTCTATGAATTTGACTACTCTGGGTACCTCACTCATAAAAATAGAATCACACAGAATTTGTTCTTCCTGACTGGCTTATTTCGGTTGCATAATGTTTTTTAAAAGCATTTTAAATTTTTTTTTAGTAGTACTTGGACATTATACCTTTATTTTATTTATTTATTTATTTATTTATTTATTTATTTATTTATTTATTTATATGTGGTGTTGAGGATCAAACCCAGGGCCTCCCACGTGCTAGGCAAGCTCTCTGCCACTGAGCCACAACCTAGCACTGCATTTGTATAATGTTTTTTTTTAATATTTTTTAACACAATGCCTTTATTTTTATGTGGTGCTGAGGATCAAACCCGGGTCCTGCCCGTGCTAGGTGAGCACTCTACCACTGATCCACAATCTTAGCCACTGTATAATGTTTTTAAGGTTCTTCCATGTAGCATATGTCAGCCTTTCTAAGGCTGAACACAACACCATTGAATATTCCTCATTCTATTATCCATTTACTGTAAGTGGACACTTGGGTTGCTTATATCTTTTGTCTACTGTGAATGTTGTTGTTGCAATACTGTGTACAAAGGACATTTGAGTACTCACTTCCATTTCTTTTGGATATATATCTAAAAGTGGAATTGTTACCACACAATAATTCTATGTTAAATTTTTGAAGAACTACTGTTTTGTTTCTACAATGGCTGCATCATTTTACATTCTAAACAATAATGAATAAGGGACTCAATTTCTCCATATAATATTTATTTTCTGGTTTTTGTTTGTTTTGTTTTTGATAGTAGCTATCCTAATGAGTGCAAGGTGGCATCTCATTGTGAGTCTTTTTAATATTTATTTTAAAATTATAGTTGGACACAATACCTTTGCTTCATTCATCTATTTTTATGTGGTGCTGAGGATCGAACCCAGGGCCTTGCACAAGCTAGGCAAGCTCTCTACCACTGAGCCACAACCTCAGCCCATCTCATTTTGTTTTTAATTTGCATTTCCCTAAAGATTAATTGAGATCTTTTCACATGCTTATCACTCATTTGTACATCTTCTTTAGAAAAATGACTATTCAGTTTCTTCTTTGCCCATTTTTTAATCAGGTTGCTTGTTTTCTGTTGTTGAGGTTTAGGGTTAGCGATGCAGCTTAGAAGAATAGCATTTGCCTGGAACATGTAAAGCCTCTTTTCAGGGTAGTCTCAAACTTCTCAGCTCAAGTGATCCTTCTACTGCAGCCTCCCAAGTAGCTGGAACTATTGGTATATGTCACCATGCCTGGCAGGTCTACTGTCTTTTGAACTCACATGTCAATCTAGGACTTCTGGGGCCTGAACTATATATGCTTTTGGAGGATTTAGAAAAATGTAACTTTTGTAAACTTTTTTTTTTCGAAAGATCTTCTTTTTTTTTTAATTTATTCATTTATATAGGGTGCTGAGGATAGAACCCAGGGCCTCGCGAGCACTCTACCGCTTAGCCACAACCCCAGCCCCTAAGCTTTTATAAACATTTATAACTATGTTCTCACTTGCTAGGACCCCTTCTGGAAGGCATCATGCAAACTTCATTTGCTTCATCACTAATCAGCCTTTTTGTAGTCACCATCACCACCACTTTCTTCTTCTTTCCCCTTGCTATTTTAAACATTTCAGTAAGTATATATAAATGATAATTGAAATATTAGTATACAGAAGAGTTAGTATAAAACATTTCTAATCAAAGAACATCATATCACTGATTATCATTATGTATATATACATATACATATATAAGCATATAATAGTTTAACTTGTTTACTAAATCAGAAAAAAACTGAGCTTTAAAATATCTAGGTCATAATTTTCTTTATTAAATGTTTTTGAAAATCTATGGACAATTCAACTTTCTGACCTTCAGTATATACAAAATAAAAGGTTAGACTTGAAGTTCCATTCCAGCCTTATTAAGTCATAATTTTTTTACTTTCTGCCCATTTCTCTACTTGCTTTTGGTGACGGTTCCTCTGTACCAACCTTCACCCCTGCTGGGGCCAAGGTTCTGCATTGCTATGAGGTTACCTCCTGGGCATTATTCTCTTGGGCCCGATGCTTCCATTGCTTAGTTATGACTCTTCCTCAAAGAGAAAGTCTAGAATGTTCACAGATGATTACCTACTGTGTTAGCTTTATGTCACTACCTTTGCCTGTTGTGTTCTAGTTTGATTACTGCACTATGCCTCCTATTCTACATCCAATGCTCCTGAACACCTCCACATAGATGTCTCACAGGTACCTCAAATGTCAACGTGTTCTACACTGAACTTATCTGTCCCTCTTTCTTGGTCTTCCTCCTTGACTGTCTCTCTTCCTCAGCCTCAATGGCCTGTTTATTTAACCTTATGGATGTTTCATATCCACCCCTTTCTGTCTATTCTCACTACCATATTTTCGGTCAGCAGTTCATTGTCTCTTGCCTGAATAAATGTAATAGTTTTATTGAGTTCCAGGTGCTGAAGCTGCCATAATGACTATGGAGCCCTCTCTGTCCTGAAGAAGTTACCAGTCTGGTGAAGAAGACACACAAATAAAGGATATAGTGCAACATAGTGAGTCTCCTCGTCCATATAGGTGCTCCTTAATTAATTTTCCTTAAGTCATAAGAATTATATAACTAATATGCAAAATATGATTGTTTAATTTGCCTCTTAAGTTCCTTAGTAGCTCCTGAATGCCTTCAGACCAAAGTCCCAATCCCCTTGTCAAGGCATGGCAAGTTATCCCCTCCATGAGTGATCTTTTTTATTTTATTTTATTTTATTTTGTGGAGGTGCTGGGATTGTACCCAGGACCTCATGCATGTTAGGTAAGTGCCCGCTACAACTGAGCCACAACCTCAGCTTTCCATGAGTAATCTTACCTGCTCTACCTTTTACCCTGCTATGCCACTCAAACTTTGTTCTAGCCATATTGTATGACTTGTTGCTCCTTAAATAGGTCATGCTTTCTCATATCCAGGGCTTTGCCCTTGCTATTCCCAGAGTACACAGCCTATGTTCTTTATTCCCTTTATCTAAAAAACTCATAGAGTCTGTTAAAGCACCACCTTTCTCTGTGTGTGAATCCTTCTCTGACACGCCAAGGCTAGGCTGTGTCCTTTTCAGAGTTCCTTTAACACTTACCTCACTGTGTTGCATCTTATCCTTTACTTCTGTGTGTTTTATACCAGACTGCCAACCTCTTCAGGACAGAAACTGCTTCTAAGTCATCATAGCAGTCTCAGCACCTGGAACTCAATGAGCATGTGGGTAAATATTTCTACATAAACAATCACATGATAAAAACAGGTACTAAAGATGGCCTTCCTAACTTCTCTCCTTTTCTATTGCATACCTCCTTTACTAGATCCTTTAAAAGTGAGCTGCTGGATGATAGGATTGTACGTGTATCATGTTATTCTTTGTTTCTGTGTATTATATAATAACTAAATAGAATTCTACATTAAATGATTTATTTTGCCCATTTGCATTAGAGAAAAAATATTAATTCCCAGAATGCTACTCCAGATATCTTTTGAGGATGGAATTTAGGAAAAGTGTCCGTTTGGGCTATATCATGCAGTGATGACAGAACCCCATGTGATTGGGTTCAGAGTGAATTACCAATGGATCAGTGCCACAACCTGTAACATCCGAGTTAGAACTGGAAGGGAGGGATAACAGTTTTTAGTCAAAGGCAGCAGTGAGGGATGAACAGGTTCTATGATTCAGCTGAGGCTACACATGAGTTTCCTTACCAGTCCTATGCTCTTCCCACCATACAGAGACCAAAACAAAAAACACCTTCTTGTCCTAGCAAGACCTAGCTATAAAATTATGTGAAACATAGTAAGCTTTTTGAACATATATTTCTGCTTGGAATGTAAAGGATTCAAGATTTCTAAAATTACTGTGACTCTTCCTTGCCGAGAATTTGATAAAATAACACTGGTTCCTAATTCTTTTATTTCATTTAATCATTAATGCTTAAGAAGAGAGAAAAAATTGCATGATATTTGTTTTTGGCCATCTGCTCCTTTAAAAACCTTGTAGCTACTTATTATCTGGAAGGTCTATTAGTGGGGGATTGAGTACCTGGCATCCAGGAAAAGATGTAGCCAATTTAGTCTTCCTTTCTGGAATTACAGGAATCTGGAAACATTTCAGGATTCTATTCAATCTTTACCTTCTTTAGATTTTGTCACATTTAGACACCTTCAGTTAATTTGTTAAAATTCTTTGATTTATGACAGCTTACTTGAATTCTAAAGAGAAGTTGCATAAAGTGGGGGGATTAAATTCTGCAAAGCTGCATGGAGAACAGATTTTTTAAAAAACAGGTATGATTCTGCATTTTAAAACTTGTATTCACATTACCTTAAATGTAATGTTTACCTGACTCATTTACTCCAACACAGGATCACACACACACATACACACACACACGTATTTTTTTCCCCTACCTTCAGCAGTAGAATGTCAAGAGAAAATTAGTAGTGAATAACACACTTAGAAAAGTAATAAAGTGAAAGTAATGACAGTCTTTGGCACAGCCCGGAATCCTTAAGGAGCTGTAGTCTTGTTCCATCTTGTTTTCCCCCTGTACTTTCACTCTATACCTGTTCTTACTGATTTCTAGCCAATTCGATTTCACATGTATAATTGTTCCACGGTCGATTAGACTGCAGAAAAGTGGGGTTGCAATTGACTGGAGTGGTGCACTCCCTCCACACGTGTACCTACTTGGCATTAAGGGACAGTGCCCTGGCACACAGTAGGGCGGCCCCAGATATTGTAATAATAATACTTGTGTGAGTTTGGAGGAAGGATCAAGGCAGGGATTACCGGATTCCCCATTACTCCACTACCCACATTTCTGGTGCTGAGATCATCGTCCTTAGGAAACTGATCATGAGTTTGCCGCTCTTCTGGAGAAACAGCTGGTTGTTGGGGTCCTGTACACGCGAGGATGCACGTGGAAAGGCTCTGTAAAGCCCAAGTGCCAGGCACTGAGCTAAAAGAAGGTGACCATGGCCTCATCTTCTCTGCCCAAATTTATTTTTACAGAAGGTTGCAAGCTCAGCACACAGGGCTAGCAGCCTGAGCCCGGCCTAACGGGGTCCAGCACAGCGGGTTGGGCGCCCGAACCCGCGGCGGGGATGCAGGGATGTGGGGATGTGGGGATGCGGGGATGCGGGGCTGGCGGCGGCGCGGGGCGGGGCTTGACTGCGGGGAAATGACGTCGCCAGCCCCGCGCGCTCCGCGGGCCTGAGCCGCGCACCCTGGTAACGGCTGCTCCACGACTCCCGCGTCCTCCTCCATGTCCCCGCCTTCCCTCGCGGTAGCCCGCCCCGTCTCCACCTCCCTCCGCAGCCCCGGCGGCGGCCGTCTCGCTCGGTCCCGGGTGCCGCCTGCGAGCGGGGCCCGAGGATCTACGCTGCCCGCGACGCCCCCTCCGGGCGCGGGCTGAGGCGAGAGCGGGCCTGCTCCCCGGCCGTCGCCGCCGAACCCCGGAGCGTTCGCCCCGCGCAGTGTCGTCTGCGGCCTCCGGCCGGCGGGACCGCCCCGTCCCTGGAAGGGTGTGACCAGGGGGTTTCAGACAGGAGGCTGGCAGACGCCAGGGGTCGGGTCGGGGAGAGACCGTTTCGGCTCTTGCCTCCCAGACGTCGTTGCTCCGCGGGCCTCCCGGTGGGCCTCCCGGCGGGCGCGGACACAGGTGCCCCGGCCGGGGTCTATCGGGAAGATGGCGACCCCGGGCATGAGCTGGCAGCAGCACTATTACAGCGGCTCTGCAGCCGGGGCGGCCAAATTCGCACCCTCGCCGGCCGCGGCGCAGCTGGCTGGGCATGGCGTGGACTACAGCCAGGACATGCACCTGAAAATGAGCAAGAAAATCGCCCAGCTTACTAAGGTAAGGGGCGGGGCGGGGACGGAGGCGACCCTGGGTGCGCGAGCCCTGTCCCGGGGTGAGCCCAAGGGGGCTCCTGGCAAGAAGCAACAGCCTGAGATTTATCTCCAAAACCACTCAAACTTAGGTGGCATGCTGACGACGCGGATTTAAACTAGACAGTACCACTGGATTTATGGGACTTGCTGAATTTGTGGGACTTGCACCTCTTTGCCCTTTAGGGTTAACCCACGCAGAACAAATTAGGGTTTACTTTCTCAGTTTCACAACGGAACACGATTTTACTGTTGCTTCCAGGCATCTGCCAGGGCTCCAGGAGGCATCACACTACAGTACCAAATGAAGTACAGTACCGTATTTACCTAACATGACCCGAATCCTCGGAATTAATGAGTATCTGTTATTGGTTATGCATTTATGGGGAGAATAAACTTTCTGAGATTATTCCAAGGAATGTAGGAGGGTAAAACATACCTTGTGTGCCATTTGGGGGATTTAATGAGTCATTCTTTATCCTGATAAAATGTCAAAAAAGGCTTATTAGATGAATCACACTGTGCCAGCGTTTTGTTAAGCGGTTCAGTTTACCAAAAGATAGTTTTCAAAGAGCAAATCGCTTGCATGTTTACCAACTGTGATTTAGGATGGCACCTGTGTTAGTGAGCTCTTCTAATTTAGTAAATGTTGATAATAGAAAAGAGTTGGTGCCTGAAGCAAGAGAATTTTGGATCATTTATCCTGCTCTGTTTAGATCTTACTGGCAATTTAGCAATACTCATTAAGTGTGAAGAAGTGATTTGTGATTTTTGGAAGTTAGTAGAGGTGATAACTACTTAATGAGTGTTGGTATGCTGACATGAAGACATGAGGCAGGAGGTCGCAGGATATTACTAGGTAAACTGAAGTCTGACTCCAAAATTCTCAGTATATACTTTCACTATTGGTCTTCTTGAGAGAGTACACTAAGTCATTAGAATTGGAAGGAGGGAAAGGAATAATAAAAAAGGAATGAAACGTAATAAAACAAGGAATAAATGAAGGGTAAAAAGATTTCAGTGGAGAAATGTTATTGAGGTTAGAAAAATAACAAGGAAGGACTAAAGAATAAGGGGACAATGGAGGTGAAAAAGAAAAGGTGCAGGGATTTAACAGTAAATCTCAACCATGCAAAGCAAGCAATATTTTGTGAAATTGTTTTTGTTTGTTGTTCTTTGTTTTGTTTTTTTTATTGGACGTCAACACAGTCTCAGAGGTTGCTAAGTATCCAGTTTTTACTATTTCCTCTTGTGACAGAGAGTACCAAAATTCACAGAAAGAAAGAACTAGGAAGAAATGATAACACAGAGTCATCAGAGCATTTCTCCAATTGGGGCTCTCCTGCAATAGCATTTGATCTTCATAATATTAATGTTCAAAGTGAAGTACATACGTATTTATTTATTTATTATGATTTTTTCTTAGAAAATGTCCACACATCCTTTGTTCTTATTTTAGATTGTAACTCCCCAGAGTTCTGCTGTAATAGAAACACTCAATAAATCGGTAGTGGAACTGTGTATTCTTTAATGAAAGCTGTTTCACTTCAGTAAACTTTATTTCTTTCTACTTACACTTTTCAATTTCCTGTTCTTTTATCAGAAAAAAAATTCACAGAAGGTAGGATATTACATGGATGTTGATAGCACTTTCGGCCTTCACACCAAGCTCCTTGAATCTAATAAGCCACTGTCCCTGTGCCAGTGCTTCATCACTGCAGCGTGTTGTATCTAATCCTTCTTGGGAGTTACTGGGACTCTGATCAGTGTTTGTAGTTACGGTATCTAAACACTGTCACCACCCCATCAACATCTTAAGTGCTTCAGACATTTAATACCTTATACAAGGGTTTCTCAGTGTTGCATTGATTGATTCCTTGTTGATGATCTGTCTTGTGCATTATAGGATGTTTAGCAGTATCACTGCCCTACATAGTTGGTGTCAGTAGACTTCTACCCCAATTGTTCCCTCCCCATTATCATGATAGTAAGCATTACTAGATGTTCCTGGGGCAGAGTGGGGCAAGGGAGGCATGGCAAAATCATGCCAGGTAAGGGACGAATACCATTGAATACTGAAATATCTATAGAGGTTCTTCTACCTCTACCTCTTGCCTTTATATTTACTTGAGATAAAGTCTGACAATGAAACAGTCCTGTAATAGGACTCTTGATACAGCCAGTTCCCTTCAGTTCCTGAAAATGCACAATAAAACCTGCTTTTCTTATGTACCATTTGGAAACTGTCAAATTGTACAGTCATATACACTTATTGCAAATACTGTGCCATAAGCACGGCATCATGAATGTGTGTACATACATATGTGCATATATACATATGTGTATATATGTATGTCCATATATATTATATATGTGTATAATTAGAAACTCTGCTAGTTCTGCTTCATGAAGTTTTACTCATGAAGAGTTTACTAATAAATTCACACCAATAGAGAGATAAAGTAGAACTATGGATGCAACTTGTTAATATTTTACGTTTTTATAGTTACTGTAAAGATAACTATTAAAGTAGGATCTATTTTCTGGGGAAGGGAGTCAGTAAAAATCACTCCTCAGCCTTATAGTAGCAGTATAATTAAAAATATGCCTTGGGAATCTGGCACACATCCTGAGTTAAAATTTCTACTCCCCTACTTGCTAGTAGCATGACCTTGAGCAAGTCACTAAACTCAGTTCCCAAATCTTTAAAGTAAGGATGACAGTACCTATTTTAGAGAGTTATAGGCTCTTTATTCATGCCATCACTGAAAATATTTACTATATACTAATAGTATTCATAAAATATTCATAGTATATTTTAAATACCCCTTTAAAATTTCTGCTTTGGGTACCATGATATCATAGTGTGTTTATTTTGAGGATTTCTCCCAATCTCTTTAAAAATGCATATAGTAGTTGTTTTCTTATTTGAATATCAGTAAAGGTTTCACATTCACATTGTTTGTGGTATAGTACTGAAAGGCATGTTTCAAGAAATCTGGCTGGCTTTGAAAGGGTAAGGGTGACAGTTTTCTACTATACAGTATTGTATATAATAAGGCTCAGTATGTTTTTAACTGAAGAAAAAGTCTCAACTGAATGCATAATTGTTCATATTCTGTCTTTCAAGAGCCTAAGATAGCAGCTTCTTGTGGTAAGAACTGCAGTTCTTAAAGCAGGTTTTATGTAAGGGTACTTTGCTAAGTGTTAGAGATGCAGTGGGGGAGCAGGACATAGTCCTCAGCCTGTTAAAAGATGTCTAGCATATTTAGGTCACCCATGTCAAATTTTAAGAATTAATATTAGATTCTTGAATTAATAATAATTCTCATGTTGTGGCATAGTTCTGAAATTGTTATGGGTTTAAACATGTCAGTAAGACAGGAAAGCTGGGTGGAATCCATTCTGTTTTATAAGATCACATTTACATACTTCTCTGTTTGTCCCTATGATACCTCCCCACCCCTGCCTGGTACTGGGCATTGAATACAGGGGGACTGGGGCTGGGAGCTATATCCCTGGCCCTTTTTACATTTTATTTTGAGATAGAGTCTTGCCAAGTTGCCAAGGCTAGTCTGTAATTTAACAATCCTTCTTCTGTCTCAGCCTCCTGAGTAGTTGGAATTACAGGCATGTGCCATTGCTTCTGGCCCTCTGTTTGGACTCTATAGTGCAATAGATTAAAAAGGAAACTGGTAGGATATAATTATAATAGTATTATTTTTTAATCTCTCTTTTTTCTTTTTTGGCCCCTTTCTGTCTCTTTCAATTTACTCTTAGGCTGGTTTATTCTCTGACATGAGTGAACTTGATATTTCTGGTTACTCTTAGATAATAAAAATCATCCTTCAATAACTAAGTCACAAAGATCTCAGCTTGATTATTAAAATGACCAGTGCAAATAAACAAATAAAATTTCTAGACCAAACCCAAATTAAAGATGAAGCTTCTCCCCCCCATGCACATTTTTTTGGCCCTGCATATTGCAAGGGGCAAGTTAGTAATCGGGGAAGGGCTTCATTGACTTTTTTTCTTCTGACCATGCTTTTCTACTCTTCCTTCTTTGTCTTGCCAGTCCTGGTTTTAGATCCCTCCAAAGTTGGAGGAGGAAGAATGAAGAGGAGGAGGGAAAAGGAACTTCAGAGTTTTAGCTAAAAATCTAGATGATGATCTATCTTTAGTGCTTTTATAGTCTTGGTAGATGTTTCAAGATTTTTCACTTGAGGATCCTGTATCTTTCATCTTAGTTGCTTGAGACTTTCACATTAAGTTCCTTGAAAATGAAAATGCATTCTGGCTGGTTGCTGGATCCTTCCTCAGCTCTTGGAGCTGGCAGTAAGTATCTTCATCATCAATTTGTTGAAGTCTGTTCCAGCTCCAGATAATCCATTTGGATGGATCCATGTGACTCTACCATAGCTTTCTGTTTCTTCCTGTAAGACCCATATCTGGTCCCTAGGAACTAATCATTCTTTGTACAAAACTAGGAGTGGTCCTAGTTCAGCCATCTCTTTTGTTCTCCAGTGCATCTTCATTCATCTCCCATTCTTTAGATTTTCCAGGGATGAATCAGGTGTCTAGGTCAGATGTTCTTGAAAGTGCTTGTATCAAGCCCTTCATATGATCCCTTCAAAGACTTTTTTCCTGTGCTTCAGGTGTGGAATGAGAATTTTCTCTCTTCCCCATGAAAAGACCTGGGTCCTTATTATCATAAATCTCATGGATATCTCCATAACCAGCTCTGTAATCTCCTTGAAGTCACATTTTACTAGTGTTGGTTGAGGGTAGGAGGTAAGACACTTCTAACATTCCTTTCTTTAGACTGCCTCCTTTGAAATTTTAGGAATGTTCTGGCATCTGCTTTGGAGCGTTAATTCTGTTGTCTTTAGTTCTTAGTAGAAACTTCCCTTTTAATGTCCTGCTTTGTTAGCTTCTTATGAAAGGCCTCCATTGTTGCTTATATTTCAG